TTAAGCAATTATTCAGCCACGGCCTTTTATATTTGTGATGTGGTGCGTAATCTCTGGAATTATACCTGGTAAATGGAATCCGTCAGGTGATTAGCTAGCGGGGTTTGAGGTGTGGGTTGATTTGAAAAAAAACCGACGTCACATGCTCTTTCTAATCTAACTTTAAGATTTGACTTGCTGTATATCCTCTTTCCGTCCAGCTAAATCGCCGTTATGTAAAACTATCTAATGTAGCGTGCGATATGTTACCAAATTCTGTTTTTTTCTTTCTGACTATCGTAGTCTTGATTTTATTCCTACAATTTCTGGAGTTCAAAACGTTTTTCAATATCCATGTAAGAAAATGTGTATGCAAAATCGCACATAAGAGCACATCTGACAGTTGTGCAACTGCACCAGAGAAGAAGAGATAAGTAAGTATAGGCAAAAGGACATTAATAGCAAAGACATGGGACACTTGGAAGCCCTTTTCTGCCTCATTCGGCCTCGTTGGCTAGTGATACTCAACCCCAGAGTGGCCGCTGTACTCGCGATCTCTCTGGTCAGTGCGAACGTCCAAACCGTTCAACTTTGAGCTCACGGTCTTGCCGGTATTAGATCGGGGATATACGGTGGCATATACGCGTACACCGATCTGTTAGAGGACACACTCGTCCGTCCATGTTGTCATTAGAGCTCTCACTCGAGCCTCCACCGCGAGGTGGTTAGGATATAGGCAGAAGGACATTACCGATTAGGATATGGGTCACTAGGAAGGCCTTTTCTGGCTTATTTGCCGTCATGGGCTAGTGTTATCCAACTCCAGTGTTGTCGTTGAAATTGCTGCCACACTCGAGTTTTGAACTCACGATCTCTCTGGTCAGGGCTACCGGCTCTCTAACAGATCGGGGTATGCATACCTGCCACTGCATATTCCCGATCTAATACCGGCAAGACCGTGAGATGAAGAATGTCCTGAGGCATAATTCCAAGATTTCTGTGACGTGCTTTTGTTTGAGTTGCTGTTCATCTTCCTCATACTTTTCCTGAAGAAGTTCATCGATAGTGCTGACGGCGAGACCGGTTGGAATGGATGTGAGTTATGACACCACATCAAACAACGCCATTACCTCGTCTAAATCTACTTCTAGATGTCTGATGTTCCTCAGAAATTCTTCAGCCGACTTCACTGTGTATTCGGAGCCTTCGGTGAGGAAGCGAAACCGCTGGTAGAGCCATTTCGATAGTCCAACTTTCGGAGTGCCACGTAACGTGACAATGGGGCGAAGGGGCACACCCGGCTTATGCACTTTAGGCAGACTGTAGAAACGTGCCATCGTGGCATCTGTAGCTTTTGCGGTCACTGCATCCTTTCGTTTGAGGGTTTCTGCTTTCTTCAACCTGTCAATCGCCCGGTTGACGACGTTCATATGCTTTTTGAACACTCCAGCCTCCGAAAGCCGGTTGGAAAGTTCGTCTTCCCCCGCCCCGTTAGGTCCCAAAGAAACCGTTGTTATCGTAATTGTCACTCAGGTTCGCTGAAATGGATTTAACCCTATGAAGGATGCTCAAATAAGGCTTAGATTACGCGGCATTATGTAATAATCATGGTAATTGAACACCTGCCTTGTGTCAGTCACCTGGCTATGCACCGTGCTGCTGATTTCTCTATTGGCTCTACATGTGATGAGGATGTGACGCTAATTTAATTGCCTATTCGCAAACTAGCTGCGTGTGAAATACGGTGTCCTCGAGATTTTGAACCTGCAGTGCTCTCCCTGGATGTGAGCCCCTGATTAAGGAATGGGTTGAGAAGAGTCTTTGTCATATAACAAAAAATCAGCGAAGCAAATGAAAACCCATGTTCAGGAAATGCACCACTGAAGGCCTATTTGGCCTACAACCGATGGGTGGAATGGGAGTAAACCGCAGACACCGCG